TGTAGATGTCCAGGTGTCTTTGGACTACGCAGCCCATCAGTCCCAGGTGGGACAGCCTGTTTCCCCCCCCTCCAACCTTTTCCCTTGGTCTGGATATCTGGCAACACCGTTGTTCCTAACCAGCTGTTTTTACTGTAATAGGAGTGCACAATGCATTTCACAGTGATGAGCATTTAAAAATGGGGGTAGGGTTGGACTCAATGGCCTTAGAGGCCCCTTCCAGCTTCACAATCCTATGATACAGATCAAACACACAACGGGCGTGTGACATGCTGTCGTTCGGCACAAGTTGCCTGCTGTAGAACAGATGTCTCCCACTGAAGGGTGCCCTCGGGCAGCGTGAGACGCCTTGCGCCCCTTGTATGAGATCTCAAGCAGAGGCCAAAATACTCTTTACTCCTTGGGGTAAGGGGCTTGAGAAAGGCCCAGCTTTGGAATACAGAATATGGCCAGGATTGCAGGCTTAGAGCAAGGCTGGTGAATCTGTAGATGTCCAGGTGTCTTTGGACTACGCAGCCCATCAGTCCCAGGTGGGACAGCCTGGCATGATGGCATTCTAACGCACCAGCAATCAATAAAATCAATATTTAAATATTTTTCTCCTCCCATCGGTCCCAGGTGGGACAGCCTGGCATGACGGCATTCTAACGCACCAGCATCTGGAGAGGGTCAGGTTCCTCATCCCTGATCTAGAAGCTGGTGGCAGTGATCAAGGGTTTTTCTAAACATGTGCAAAGTCTTTTTTTTCCCCTAGCGCAGGCTTTGTCAGCACGCATGGGAAAGAATTCTAGGTTGGCAGGGAAACCTTTGAAGTGTTGCCCTTTTCTCCTTTTAAGAAAATATGGAGTTTGGTGGCTTCCCATTGGTTCTGATCGGAGTCTTTCCATTTGTCCTTCTGTTTCTTGTTCTCTTTTGGGATCACCGCCTAGCCATCTGGCAACTGTTATTGCTAGTGAGTCTTTTTTCTTTTCTTTTTTTTTTACTTACGGCAACCCTATAAGAGAACAACCTCCAAAATGCCCCGTGAAAAGCTCAGAGCCTGCAGATTAGATGTTGTTCCTTAGTTAATTTTTTTATATATGTTTTAAGGCAATTCAGAAAAAAATAGAACAAATAAAATCAATATTTAAATATTTTTATCCCCTTTTTTGGTTCTTTTTTAAATAAATATTTTATTGTATTTTTTCTACTTTTCAACCCATTGCAACCAGAGTGATTTATCACAATATGTTCCATTCATTTCATCTTGTCTTATACGCTCTAACCTAATATCAATCTAATCTATTCTACTTGAATCAGTGTAGATTTCATCCAGGTATAAAGAGGATCTCATTTATTATTATCCAGTCTATCATTTAGTGTGTCTGTCGAAATATCCATTTCTGCTCATTCCAAAATCTTCTCAATAAATTCCTTCTTTGTCAGCACCTTTGTAGTCTTTCTCTTACTGGCATAGATAATTCTAACTGCAGTTATCAGGTGTAAGGTCAAACAAGTCTTGTTGTTTTTCAAGTGTAGCTGCTAATATATTCAATAAGAAAATTTCTGGTGTCAAAGCAATTTTAACCCCTGAAATTTTCTCTTATCATTTCATGAACCCTTTTCCAAAAGTCCTTGGCTTTATTGCAGCTGAAATTTTCTCTTATCATTTCATGAATCCTTTTCCAAAAGTCCTTGGCTTTATTGCATACCCACCACCTATGCTAGAAGCTCCCTATTTCTTTTCACATTTCCAACACTTATTAGGAACATTTTAATGCATTTTTGTTAATTTCTCTGGTGTTGCATACCATCTGCAAAACATTTTGTATATATAGATTTAGTCATTTTAATACTTTTTTGTTTCCAAATTTGTGACTACGCACTTAGTTCTATAGTGTTGTTGTAATACGCCCAGGAACCTTTGGATAGTGTGGGCGGCATATAAGTTAAATAAATAAATATATTATGACCTATATTTTGAGCCCATTTTACCATGCAATCCTTCACAATTTCATCTCCCATTTTTTGCTCCGTTAAAGTATTACATAAACCTTTCATCAATTTTTCCTCTGAGTCCAGCAACTCCTTATCCAAAGGTATTTTGTCTTTCTGCAACCCTGTAGCTTTATCTTTTATATATCTTGATTTCAACAAGTTTAGTGCCGCCAATCTGAGATAATACCTTGTTCTGCCCGTTCATCTTTGCTCTTTAGATGAAAATCACTATCTAATGTCTCGGCATATGTCCCGTCTGTCCCTGTCGTTTTCGCTTCTTAGCGCCCGCCAATCTGAGATAATACCTTGTTCTGCCCGTTCATCTTTGTTCTTTAGATTAAAATCACTATCTAATGTCTCGGCATATCTCCCGTCTGTCCCTGTCGTTTTCGCTTCTAGTGTCAGTTCTACTTCGTCATCCTCTCAGAATGGCCGAGCTGGAAGGGGACCCTAGGGGTCATCCAGCCCATCCCCTGCCAAGGAGGCCCCATGGGAGAATCAAACTCCCAACCTCTGGCTCTGCAGCCAGTGACCTTAAACCACTGAGCTAGCCAGCCGTTCTGAGCTTTAGCATCTTCACAGAGGCATTGTACTTGGACTGGCCTTGTGAAGAAGGAGAGAGATATTTTTAAAAACCTCTCTGTTTATGAAACAAAGTCAGGGTGGAGCTTGGCTCACTTTCTTGAGCTGCACAGGGCTGTTTCCTTCCCTTGAATGCCCCCTGTATCCCCATGGCTGATTGGCACGTCTAGCCTAATTCCTGGATTGCAGAACACCGCCACACGTACACCAGATTTTTGGGAAGCGGCTGGGATGTGTTTCAAGCCTGCCGTTTGCCGGAAGGACCCGGACGCCATCGGTCTGTCTCGCTCGCCTCCCGCTGAGCTGTGCTCTTGGCCCCGTTCCCCACTGCAGCACGGCCAGGATGAGTCATCGGGTGCTGAGCTCCCGTGGCAGAGTCGGGCCCGTTGCATGAGGCCGATCCTAACATTGGGGGCGTTTGCGGGGCAGCGAAGGGTGAGAGGTGCCGTGGAGGGCCCAGTCCTCTCTGAAATGTTGAAATTGGGTTTTTTGAAAACATAGAAAGTATGCATGGTCTTCTCCTCAGGTGGCAGAAAATCTTGGGGTGGCCCCACCACTTCAGATACCAATGGATGGAGAAAAGGGGTGAGAGGAGGGGACGGAAAAACAGACCCAAGACTCACTTTTCTAAAAATCTGTTTCTGAGGTCTCTCCGATGTTCTAGGAATGCTTTTACTGTGACCACCACCACGCCACTGAGTTCTGCGGCCAAGCAGGATTTGAACCCAGGTCTCCTGAGCTTTACTCTCCCCCAACTCTATCCACTACACCACACTGTCTCTGTCCTAAATCTCCTGCCTGGCAATTTCATTTTTTTTAATCCTCTGAGATCTGACCGAAGTTTCTCTCTAACTACTTTCTCCATTGCTGGATAATTTTAGAAACCTTGATTATATCATCACCTGCTTAATTGGCTTTTCCCCTCTAAACTAAAAACCTTATAACCTTCTTCTTTATATTTGTTTCCATCCTTTCATCTGCCCTTTTCTGTAGCTTTTCTGACTTCGTAGGATCCTTTAAGACGCAAAAATGTTAAAACTAGACAATAGATTCTAAATACAAGCAGCGGCAACGCTTTTGTGTGATGGCAGTATGAGGCTGTCGGTTTTGTGTTCCCATTCCCCTGTCCCTTGATTTTGATTCCCAGAACGGTGAATGCCTTTTTTTATTTCTCGAGGGTCACGGTCACCTATAAGATCATGCAGGGAATATTCATCCCATTGCCCAGTTCTAGTAGCAATGAGCCCCACAGTTATATATTACAAAACGAAATGTTCTTGCGTTCACCTTTATGTCCCCAGAGGGGAAGCAGCGTGATTGTCTGCACTCAGAGGTTTATCTGCCTTGTGCCTGCTGTCTGTTTGTTACAAGATAATGCTGAGTTTCAGCGTTTTGGGGGGAAATGGGCTAATTAATTAACTTCTTTTCCTTCCTTTGTTTCCAGACTACTAACTATTTTATCACTGTTGTTCTCACCTTCTCCCTTCACTGCCTCCAACCTTTTAAATAACCTTCCCCAACTAGCGGCTTCAAGGTATTATTATGAACCATAGTGCTATCATCCTTAGACACCAGCCATGCTGACTGGGGCTAATAGTAACTGTAGTCCTAAGGACAGAAGATAAAGTAGGCTGGTTGAAGTCTTAGCTCTCTCGCTCTCTCTCTGTCTCTCTCTCCCTCCTTCTTTTTAGTGTCCCAGTCTGCAGGCACATAAGCTTCCCTTGCTCCCGTGAAAAGCTTCCCTCGCTGACGTGTTGTGGATCCAGCATCCGTTAAGAGCACAGGAGCAGGCTAGACTTGGTTCTGTTGGCAACCCTACCAGGTGCTTGATAATACACAGCCACTCACACAGAGGAGAGATGCTCTGGGGACCCAGATAGCCCTCCGTGCATTCATTTACCCATCAAAAATTTCCATGTGTCTTTTAAAAATTAAATGTTTAAATTCAACACCTCAATAAAACATAATGTAAAATTTGCAATTCTGTCCACACAAATTTCATACAAACAATGACAAAACTCAGTGCTCCCTTCACCCTGGGGACCATCATATCTTATATTTTATTTTATTGCCTCCTTATACCTGACCTTCAATCCGTCATTGAGCCATCCCCAGATCCCTTCTAAAAATACATATAATCTTGGTTTGGCCTTTTCCCTTTCCTCATTTCTAAATTCATCCCATATCTCATTAAATATATTTGTCCTTAACTCTCATTTTTCAAACTTAATCTCTGAAGTCAATTTATCACTAATTGCAAGATTCTAAATTTTGTTATTGAATTCAGGGGGGCGGGGAATCCATGTGACTCTGACTTTGTAAGTCAACACTCGCTGCTTACACCTCTGGCCCTCGCTGCAAATGTGGAAGCACACAATTGAATGCACACATATGGTGTGTTTTGGACTGACCAGGTTTTGTTTCCCGTCTCCTCTCTTCCAACCTCTGTCTCTTCAATCCCTAGATTTCATCTGCGGTAAAGCCGTGTGCAAGAGTACAGACCAGGAAAGGAGAATGAAGTCTACCGTTGGCATAGCCATCCTTTTGGCAGGTAAAAACAAACAGGAGGGTTCTTTATATGGCTTTCCAGCAACCCCATATCCAGGCCATGCCAGAGTGTCTTAATTTGGGGGTGTCTTCTCCAGAGGGAACCCCAAAATCAGAAGTTCATGAATGGCAGGATAGGAAACCCAACTGCTTGGGTGATTAAAAAAAATGAGATGGGTGGACCTTCAAGGACAGAGTGGGTGATCAAGGCAAACAAACCCAAAGACAGTGGGATTCCCAGCAAGTAGCCTGTATTTCTAAAGGGATAAACTTAAAAGTCCTGGACAGGTAACACACTGTATCACTGTCCCAGGTGAGAACAAAGACGGTTGAAACTGGGGTTCATAATCTTTCTGGGAATGCCACTCCTGCCAGGAGCTTTCAGAAGCTGGCAGAGAAGATTGGGGAATAACCAGTTCTCAATGAGAGGAAGAAGAGGCTACATGGAGCATTACTTTTGCAGATGGGGAGAGAGAGGCTTTGAAAAGGCCCCCCCTGGACCTAACCAGCATGTGGTCCAGAGGATTTGAGGAGTTGGCATCCTTCTTCAAATGTATTTCTGAACGCTGCACTTTAAGAAGGATGCCAACAAACTGGAGCAAGTTCAGAAGAAGGCAACAATGATGATCAGAGGATCGGAAACCAAGATCTAGGAGGAAAGAGTGAAAGAACTGGGCATGTTGAGCTTTGAGAAAAGACGACTGGGGTGGGATGGGGAGATGGGATAGCATTTTTCAAATACATGAAAGGTAGAGGATAGCATTTTTAAAATACATGGAAGGTAGTCATACACAGAAGAGATGGGATCTGTTCTCGATCATCCCAGAGTGCAGGATGCATCCTCATGAGCTCACCCTACAGGAAGCCAGATTTAGGCTGAATATCAGGAAAAACTCCTTAACTGGTAGAGCAGGACAACAACTTATGAGCTCACCCTACAGGAAGCCAGGTTTAGGCTGAATATCAGGAAAAATCCTTAACTGGTAGAGCAGTAAAACAATGGGACCCATGAATCTTGGGAGGTGGCGAGCACTCCAGCGCTGGGTAGAGCAGGACAACAATGGGACCCATAACCCTATGGGGAGGTGGCGAGCGTTCCAATGCTGGAAGCCTTCAAGAGAAAAGTGGACTACTCTGACAGATCTGCTTTGATTTGGATCCCTGCCTGGAGCAGAAGGTTGTACTCCATGGTCTTAGAGGCCTCTCCCAACTCTGTGAAAACGTAGTGTTTTCTAGTCCCTTGGTGAACTTAAAGGATCTAGGTGGATCAGCTGAAGGGGGTAGCTCCCTAAGCTTTGCAGCCCAGCGGGATCAGAGGTGGGTTCTTCACCCATGTGCTTGCTTCCCACAGCACTCCAACTAAGCTGGTGCCAGAGGATCAAAAGCTTGACGGCCTGCTTGAGCGGGCAGAGCCTGCGGGTGGACTGTCGTTACGAGCGGAAGACGGAGAACCCCGTGAACTATGAGTTCCGCCTGAGCAAAGATGCCAGCGACGGACTCATCGTCGCCAGCAACATGAACGTCGCCAACGCCGCCTATAAGAGCCGCACGGAAATCACGACGGACAACAACCTGGTGTGCCTCTACCTCCACGGCTTCACCAACAACGACGAGGGCATCTACGTCTGCAAGCTGAAGATCACCAACGATTATGGGATGCAGGCTCGGAATGTCTCGGTTCTCAAAGGTGAGCAAAGGTGCTCCTTATGGGGCAGGGCTTGGAAAGAGTTACTTTAGGGAGACTTAAACCTCCTGAAATGTCCTAGCCACCATGGTTCTGTGGCATGGGTCCATAGGCCATCCAAAAGTAGGTTTTCGAAGCACTACGGATAAATCATATCTCCGTTCTCTTAGAATATAAGCCAAGTGATTTTTAATTGAGTTTGAATCAAATTCCTGGTTGGATCATAACATTGGCGAACACTTGGTGGGAAGTCAACACAAAGGTCATTTCTTCCAAGACTTTTCCTCAGCCATAAATGGGATACAAATTGTTCATATGTACTGTCCAGTTGCATCATCCAACTTATTGTGACCCTTACTGGGTTTTCAAGGTAGGGGAGATATTTAGGGAGCGGCTTTACCAGTAATTCTCTCACTGATAATAGTGGCAAATACCCTAGCTTCCACCCCTTTTAGATAATTTGGCATTAAGTGACTCTTAAACATTTGTAGTAGGAAGATTTTTTTAAAAAAAATGCATTTACAGTTGCTTCAAATTATAGACTTGTTTGTGCTGCTTTCTTTACTGCACATATACCTAACAACCAAACATATACCTAACAAGCAAAAGAGAGGGAAAAGAACACTCAGTACACAGGCGGGGCTCTTTTTGAAATCAAAGTCCAGAAGGAATGATTGGTTAGTGCTGGAAAGACAGGCGCTTGTCCCAGCCCAGAAAAAAATCCCTCCCAAGCTACAGGCAGCCCATAAAACTCCAACAGATCTCAGGCTGGGTTATGGAGTAGTATTAAACCATTCAATAACTTAAGACCTTCGAAACAATTGGAAATGAAATGGTTTAAAATGGAAACATGAATGCCCGCAGAGGCCATTGGATAGATGCTGTTTCGGGGCTAGCCTTACGGTCTTTTCCCACTTTGTGTTTTACAGACCGGCTGCAGAAATGTGCCGGCATGAGTCTCTTGATCCAGAACACCTCCTGGCTGCTTGTCTTACTCCTCTCCTTGCCTCTGTTGCAAGCCGTGGACTTCATGTCTCTGTGAAGGAGGAAGGAACCAGGCCAGGCGAGGACAAGGAGAAGAGGGTTGTACAAACGAACCTTAAAAACCGAGCCTTGGAAGGTGGCCCTTTGCTTCTCTTCAGGAAGGAGGTGGCCAGAAGGAGGAGAGTTTGACGCCGAACCCAGATCGCATCGCTCAGTATTATGTCTTTCTGTTCCTCTCTATTCTATCTATCTCTGTATCTTAAGAGCTGCATAGCTAACACGAGTGACTGATCCGCGCTAACAGCCCCCATCCCATGCAAGAAGTACATCCGAGGGGAAGGGGGGGTGTTGTCAGAAATGAGGAGTCCTCCGCACACCGTAGAGAAATATGACGCAAGCATGCCAGCATTTTCTGTGGCGCCACTTCCCCCCACCCCACTCATACGCCAACCATGAACGTTGCCATGGATCTCATGTTTCCACCCTCTTCTCCTCCCCACCCCCTCATAGCCCAAAGCTGGATGTTGGAGGTACGGCTTCTCACATCCATTTTTGTCTTTCGAGATCAGGTGAGTCCTCGGGCTAGAGACGAAAGGCAGAGGAAGGATGAAACGCCTCTGGGTGGGTTTTGGGAGAGAGAGAAATTAAACTAAAAAGGCATCGGGCAAGTGGCCGTGTAGAAAGTGGGGCGGTTGGCTTTGTCTGGACCACGAACAATTTTTTTTTTATGTTAGAGGATGATCGACTAGAAATCTTTCCATTTTGGACTGGCCGTGAGAGTCTTCCAATACAAAGAAAGCAACTTCTCTGAGCACCTTGGAGGGGTTTAGATAACGGTCCACGCGTCCCTTTATCCCAGGCTGGTGGTCTTTGACCGAGCACAGCCTTCTCTTCCTCTGTGGACACAGGGACGAGGAATCGTGGTCAACTGGGGAGAGAAAAGGGGGCTACTCTTTGGGAACCAGCCGTGCCCAGTTTCAACCCCAGCTTTCTGAAGGCCTGCTACTAGGTGCCTTTGGCAAGAGGACAGCTGAGAAGGGGAAAACTCAAACCTTCCTGCCTGCCTTTCAGCTGACCAGTGAGCTGAGAAGGGTAGGGTGCTTATGATAGAGAGAAGACAAATGATGAGAGGGGGCTAGATTTTTCCATGCCAGCAAGATCAGACATGGAAGAATAGAATTCTTGAATGGACTGGGACCTGAGCATCCAAAGAAATCATGCCTGGATTCTACCTCACTCCCAAAACAGCACAAAATCAAATTATTTCTCTGCATTAGTGCATTTTTAATACTTAACTAGAAGCAGTTCTGTATTCTACATGGTTTAGTTACTGTATCTCAAGACAGAGGTGATCTTTTTATGGGGTTTTCCCCAGCACTTCGATTATTCCTTACCAAAAAAAAAAAAAAACATGACTTTCTTAACTAGAAGCGGTTCTGTATTCTAAATGGTTTAGTTACTGTATCTCAAAACAGAGGTGACCTTTTTTATGGGATTTTCCCCAGCCCTTTGATGATTCCTTACCAAAAAAAAAAAAATGACTCCCAGAATCCCCATGATGGATGGGGATTCTGGGACTTGTGGTCCGTAAAAAGGAGGAGCATTCCCAAAGGACTTGTGGTCCATAAAAAGGAGGAGCATTCCCATCAGCTTCCAGTCCACTCTCTCTGGAGTAAAAAGCTGACCCATCTTTGCGTGTGGCCCTACAGCTTGCAGAAAAAACTGCAAAGGGAGCGGCCCCTCTCTTTTTCCCAAAACTTGCAGGGAGGGGTCTGGCAAAAGGGGAACACTGATGGTTAGATAAGATCTGCTTCCCTGCAATGTCCACAAAAGTTGGTGACTCCAGTTTCGTAGGGCCAGGTCAATTTGCTCCAGGTTTTAGACTACGGGAGCTGTCCAAGGTTCTGACACTATCTCTGGGATAGGGTTCATCACTTTCAAGATAGCTCCTGTTAAGTTCAAACTAAAACCTCAAGTGGATTCACATCCCCTGCGAAAAATTGAGAAAGGGACCTTAGAAATCATCTCAACCAACTCCTTGCTCAGCACAGGACTTGTTGGGTGTAGGTTACAATGAGCTCTGCCCTCCTCTGACAGCTATCCAGAGGCTGGTTCGTTTGCCTTGGCCATGAAAAATATCACCTTGTTTGACTCAGTCAAGAGTGGGCAGAAGGTTGTACTCTCTCTGTCTCTTTAACCTAAATTTTGGTACGAAAAGGGAGAAAGCTGGGGGCTAAGATCTCGAGCTGACCTGTTGAAATCTATGGGATTAATGTTAGGGTTGACAAATCAAGTCATGTTTGGGATCATTAGGGTTCAATGTGGAGAGAATGTCAGGATCCCAAATAATTCTGGGCTCCAAAATCTTAAAGGTTAAGAAACAGCCTTCTTGCCGCGGGCTCTAGGGGATAACATTTAGGGCTTTTAAGCAATGAAAAACCAAACTCCTTGAAATCTGGCATCATACCACCCTTTCCATCTAGCCACCACATTCACGGCTCAATTTCCAGCTTTGCTAATAAAATGACTGTTGTGCTTTCTCTTTACTTCTGCTTTCAGCCACCTAGAACTTGTAGGATTCACCCAAGATGAGAAACAGACGTATATGATAGGGGGCATTATGTTTTTGGGAAAAGAAAGGTGAGGACAGCTGTAGCTTCTTGATCTCAGAGGGCTAGGGATAATCAGAGGTCTCCAGCCGCCAGCAGAACACCTTTTCAGTACATCTCACCTGAGTGTAGATGGTTGCAACCAGGTGAGCTGGCCACCCCCATCTTAAGACTGAGTATAAATAGCAGCCAATATTGACCACAAGGCCTCACTGAACATTTCTGTTGGTTCCCCCCGATGCCCTACTTTTAAAAATGGCTTCCCCAGACAAAGAGACCTGGAAGACTCAGAAACTTGCGCACCCTTTTCCAGCCTGTTTGCTAGTCCTGAAGATTTGGCCCGACTGGCTGAAGGGCCTTTCAACCCTGACGGGCCTTGGCGGGCACACACAGGCAGTTGGGACCTAGCAAACACCAACCCCAGGGATCCACCATGCCAACCTGGGCGGCCAGACGTTCATGCTCCACGTGCCTCCTTGAGATTTCCATTTGGATACTTCACTGTGATCAAAAGCTCAGGCAGTCCCAAGGCCAAACCACTCCTCTCCTCCCCAGAAACACAGAAACTCTGTTTCTTACTGACTCAGAGCTTCAGGCTACCTACACCAGGATTGTCCAGTCCATTCAACAACAGCTCTTTGGATATTCATTCCCAATCCTGCCTGGAAATGGCCAGGGCTATAACCCTCTGGATGCAGAGCCCATCCTCTGCTACTGAGGTCCTTTCCTGTCTCCTTTGATCCACCCAGTCATTGAAAGTGTGCTCCTTCCCCACTTTTAGCAAAGATGGTGTGAACATCTGCCTCTCCAGATGTTGGCTTGGAACAGATCGACTGCGGACCAAGGTTGATGGAGACCATAAGCCAATGATACCTAGAGGGTTCTTTGACAGTGGACTGACGAGAGGCCCTTCCTTTCTCAACAAAATTTCTGCCCATTTCTTGCCTTTCTTGAGATCTTCATCATCACCCTGGTCTTCTCTCTTGCCCCTCTGGAACAGATCAGGTTTATTGGGGGGGGGGACTGTCTTTTCCTGGTTCAAGCCAGGCTGGGCTTGGTCGCTTCTGGAGCCCAGCGTGTGCTGACTCAGCCCAGTCCAGCTCAAAGCACACACACACACACACCCAAGGCTCTTTTCCCCCACTGCTTCTCTGCCCATGTGCAAACAGCCAGATTTTTAAATGTCGTGTTTCTCTAACCTACCACTTAGAATTTTAAAAAAAAGTGTGGCAAATGCTATCGGTGTAGAACAGAAAGTGGCTTGCTTATTTATTGATTTCTGTATTGAACTATTTCTATCGTATCCTGTATCAAAAGATCTCCGGGCGAGTGACGAATAAAAACAGTTTAAAAACAATCGCCACTTGGAAAGTATTTAAATAATCAAAGGCAACCTTTTTCAGTGAGGAATACACATACACGCTGAAGCACATGATCACAACCATTTAATAAGTTTTGAACTGCAGAGCTGGAAGGGACCCTGCGGATCATCTAGTCCAGCCCCTCTCAAGGAGGCACGGGGGGGGGATCGAACTCCCAACCTTTAGCGCCACCGCCACTTAGCGGTGAACTGCCTCTCAAATATGTGATCCTTGTAATAGAAGGTGGAAATTCCTCCCCACCCCACCCCGACATAGGAAAGAGTATTTTGCTGGCCTGCAAAAGGCGCCTTTTTCAAACTGCTGGTTGTGAAGTTCTCGCAGTAACAGCACGACAAAGTTAATATTCCCATCCACCCCAAAGTAAATTTCTAACCCCCTCCCCAGATAAGGGGACATCAAAGAAAAGTAACTTTTCGACTGGACATTATAGGTCATCAAGGGTGTCTCTCTCCAACTCAATAGTGTAGTTATGGGGGGGGGCAAGATATACATTATAGGTCATCAAGGGTGTCTCTCCAACTCAATATTCCCTTAGTGTAGTTATTGGGGGGGAAACAAGATGACACATTTTTCTTTTTTTTAAAAAAAAAAGCAGTGCCCCTAGGCGTGTGCAGAATGCGTCTCTGCCAGAGGCGCCCTCTGCGCCGCGCCCAGGAGCGCTGCTTTCGGGGCCCGACTAGTCCAGGGAAATCAGGGGGGAGGAGGCTGGGGTCTAGCGCTTCCCCGCCGTTTAGGAATAGCACTGCTATGGGACAGGCTTGGAATTGCTAACTAGGACTGTTTAGTTGTAGGAATGAACGAAGCCATTTTGAACAGTTAAAAAAAAATAGCAGTGCAGAGGCTGCTGCTGAGCACAGGAAGAAAAAATTCTCTTAAGAGAGACCCCATGCATGTCTCTATTCTGAAATACAGTGATGCCTTGCTTAATGACATTAATCCGTTCCAGAAAAAATGTTGCTAAGCGATTTAATCGCTAAGCGATTTTTAAAAGCCTTGTGACATCAGGGCCGGGCGGCGGGCGAAGGCGCTCCATGGGGGGCCGGCCGCGATTCGGTGCCCCTTCGATTCGGCTCGTCTCCAAAGCCCCGGAGAGAGCCAGGTGAGTCTCGGGTGTGTGGGGAGGGTGGACGCCGTCGAGCTCTCTCCCCCCCTTCCCAGACAACCCTCGCCCCGCGGGAAGCGCCCTCCTGGCCGGCGGAACTCCTCGCCTCGTGACGCCTCTAGAAGGCGCGCCGGCGGCTTGCAGGAGAGACGATGCTTTTCATCCCCGCAGGCTTGCACCCTCCTTTCCCCCCAAAGTATTCCGAATTACACCCCCGAAGACAGAGGTAGGCGAGCTGACTCCCCTCGGGCAGCGCGTGAGGTCACCGGGTGCACTTGAGAGCCCCAGCGAGGATTTGAACCCCGGAGCCTTCCCGGGGCTGCGACGCGCCTCTAAGCCCTGCATCAACCCTGGTGCTCTGGGAAAACGAAAATAAAACAAAGCACCATGCGGACTAGAACCCCCGCCCCGCCCCCCCAAAAATAATATAAAATAAAAAATGGAAGAGTGTGGCCTTCCCAATGGGCCACTGTCCTGCTCGCTCCCCGTTGGCTGTGGCAGCTGGGGCTAATGGGAATTGTAGTCCGGCAACATCAGGTACTTTCTTTTAAGAACTTCTCAAAAATAAATACATAAATAATGCCTCTCCAGCATTCTCTACCTACAGGTTTCTATCCCATATAGGGCATTGGATGTCGCATGGTTTCCTCCCTTAGTCCTTTGCCACAAAATAGCAAATGTTTTGTAGAACTGACCGCTGCAAAATGTATATGCGAACAAAAGTAATGTCTAAATTTAAAAAATAAAAATAAAAAAGGCTAGAAAGTAACCAATCTAGACAAAAAAGAAGTTATGCCTGAATAAATAAATAAAAGCTTAGACAGGAACAACCGAGAGGGGTAGCCTTGCTTCTCTGTTTCAACAAAACCAAAG